AAAGGAGAATAATATTTATTTACTTATTTCTAAATTTCTTGTACTAAAATATTCACTATAGAGGCAATTGTAAAATAAATTCACTGTGCATATCATATTTCATCGTTTAGCAAGATATGAAGGAATACATTAATTGCATGTCTCATCGATGAGAGTTTTTCATGCCTTTGACTTCCGGTTGTTTTATTCTGTTTTTAATCGAAATGAATATCAAACCAAAAACTTCTTTTAATATGATACAATTCTGTTAATTGATTTTATGGAAGTATGCAGTCAAAGTATGTACATTTAAGAAGCTATGAAGATTACTGAACTGTTAATCTTTAATTTATGTGTAATAGGAAACAATTAAGTTATCATGATAAACTCTTTCATCCACGAATTTTTTTATTGTATTGAACAATCTGTACGTACTGTATCCAACGTTGTAAAATATCAGAAAATCTGAATTATCATGTATAATTTAATGAATTAATTTTTGGCTGCAGATTCTTTATGTCATAATTGTATAAACAAAAAATATTTCTTCATATTTCAGATAACTGTGTATAACCCCGCTGAAATGCTAAGAGTAGCATTTAAACGAGTAAGTCATTTACCACAATATATAATTTGCAACAAAACGTACATCAACAATCAATGTGAATTTTCATTCAAACATTTTAAATACAATGTTTTTTTTTAATATGTAACATTTTTTTGTTCAGATAAATGACGACCACTTGGATGATCCAGCAACAGAGGAATAAAACAATCGATATAGGACAAACACCACCAAATGTTTTCCCATAGACTCCCATACAAACTTTAGCCCTTCTCACAGATACATATATTGAATTTCGCGCAAATGACCTTTTTGTCGTGAAAGTTCGAGATATTGGAAAACAAAAAAATGCCAGAAAAATATACCGTGCCGTTGCACTTTTACTTTCAATTTCCATTTGTTTACAACTAGATGCGTTTGACACCAAATGAAAATCTCTAACCAAAGTGCATACCTCCCTTCAAATTTTTACCTGTAACTCCTATATACCTCAAAGAAACCCAAGTCTTGATATGAAATTTTTATCAACTTTATTTCACTTGTCAAATACATTACAAGTCTTTTCTCTTATTGACCAACCACGCGCCAGCTAGTATTTTCTCCTCCACACAACGTTAAGTGTCCAAAATGTTTGCGCCCATGTATTTGTTTATGTAGGGTTTTTTTTCCATTTACGAAATCTCTCTCTCTCTCTCTTTCTCTCTCTCTCTCTCTCTCTCTCTCTCTCTCTCTCTCTCTCTCTCTCTCTCTCTCTCTCTCTCTCTCTCTTGTGATAATGATAAAAGTTAATATCTGTTATTTTCTTATTAAACATGTTTAAATGATCCACTGTTGATTGTTTTGTTTCTGGAAAAAAAATCAGATAAACAGGTTAAAGAAAAAAAAAAATGTTAGGGTTGAAATGAAAAAAATCATTTAGATAAATTGCAAACAAAAATAAAATGATAATTCTGTTAGAAAACTTCTGTATTGTGTTTTGAGCTTAGAGGTAAAGAAAACATTTCTTATTTGGTATAATTCACAAACAAATAAGATTGAAAGACTAGAGCAAAGTTCATTGCAAAGGAATGAGTAGATGGTCAATTAGAGAAGGTTTTTTGTTTGTTGTTGTTTAATATTCCTCTACATACATTTTCCCTCACACGTAGACTTAAACATTGGTAGAGTGATGCAAAATTTTGACCTATAGTCGGCAGTCAGGGCGATTCAGCTGTGCAGGATATTTTCTTGTCAGCATTAACATCCACTGTTACACAGGACCTCAGTTTATATAGTCTTATCAGAAGGACGGGTCTCCATGTTCTGTAATGGGATACGAAACTGTGACGTAAGCTACCTATTGCCTGCCGTAAAATCACGAATTCACGTTCAATTTTGGGTGTTTTCGTAAATGAAGAAATCAACGAATTCATGTCCAAGAAATGCAACATGCTACATACTAAACTACTTAATAATTCGTCATCCACGAATCAAATCCTCAAGAACCAAGAGCTTCTTCTTTGAACATTTGAACCAACGTAATGTGTTCTTTTACAGTAATTAAATTGTTAACAATGAATTCAATTATTGGCAATTTAGCCAATGTGTATCTATCACTATCAAGCATTTCTTTATTCAAAGAAATGACTTCCAGCAAGTACTCATGTCAGGAACCAAGCAATGTTTACAATGTAACTACCTATCGAAATTCGTTTTATTCAGTATGTAGAATATCATGTTTAAAAGTATTTTTCAGCAAAAAAAAAAATTTTTCAAATCATCATAAAAATTCCACAGAGAAGCTTGGCTTTCACTCCAAAAAGACCAAAAAATAACGTAAAGTTTAAAATATTAATTTGTAGCAAGTTTAACACCCGCCCCCGAAAAAAATATAAACGTTACGGAATTATATCTTGCAGAAGCTGGATTTTAAATCCTCGTCTTTCCAAAGAAATAAAACAAAACAAAAAAAAAAAAAAACCCTAAGAATCAGCGAAACAATATTGAAATAAGATTTAATTTTAACAACTTAGTTTAAAGAATTGAAGTACCATAATGATTAGAATTAGTGAAACAAAATTATGAATCTACTATTATTTTGTATGATCTATATTGAAATATCATTATAACTTAAAATCTTAGTTTCAAGACTTAATTAAAGACAGGTGAATGTGTTTGAAGACGTCTTCATGTTTTTTAGACGTTTTACATTAAGCATTTAGAAACTAGGGTTTAATTGATCAATAAAATCTGATTTTCCACCGATTTGACAACACAACCGATTTGACAACACTAGTTTAAAGATAGCTTAATTTGGGTATAGAGAAATTAATTTCTTCATATCATTATAAGGGTATAGATCTAGTAAAAAAAAGGTCCCTGCAGATCTAACAAACTTGGGAAATAAGTTCCTTTAATGATGCTTTATAACTTATGTTTAGCAAAAAATTGTGTTTCGAGGTATAACGTAAAGGTAAACAATCATATTTAAACTCTCATAATCATGCAATGAAAAATCAATATGGAATGAATATGGAATTTTTTTTATATCAAACAAGGCACATGCATTCAGATTGCCTACAATCTCACAGAAAACGATAACTTGTATGTTGTTGGTTTCATCTTTAAATGATATCAAATTTAATATAGGTGTCGGTATTCCTTTTCAAACTGAACTCCATGAAAATACTTTATTTTCTACATAAAACTCCCAGATCCAATAGGTAAGGGAAAAAGAAAGTTTGCATTAATAATAAAGTCATATTGAATGTATTGTGTAAAAAAATAGACAAAAGTCATATACTAGATCTTGAAATTAAGCCATCTTTTATCGACCATAAGGTCCTTGCTTTTTCGTGCTGTAACACCGTCACGGTTGTTCAGTCTGTTTAGTGCTTGATCTGCAAGTTCGAATCTTGGATGCCACTTACTTTTTTCGATGAAAATAAGTAGATCTTGTTCTTTTAAATGAAAATTCGTATCCTTCGGATGAGAAAACCAACGTCCCGTGTCGAAGTAGGCGTTAGGCTACAAAAAATTCCCCACTTCTCAATGGCCCTCAGTGCATTGTAATGGTCAAATATTTTTGCTCGTACATGTATATACATGTAGTAGCGTCTCTTTTTGAGTGATTTTTTATATCACTTACTGTTATTTATAAGGCGAATTCAAGGATTTCGCCACTTTTGAAAAGCAATATTCCCCTCGCCCTTCCAGCTCTATTAATATTGAAACACTTTGGTGGCTAAATCATCGTATTGACTTGACTTCAAAACAGCAGTAATTGTATAGTTATACGGTACCAAGGGTCACGTTTTTTTCTTTTATTGCTGTTGACAAAGCTTCAAGTCAGAGTGCTTTTTTTCTTCGTCTTTTCTTTTATTTACAATCGGTGCAGTAGAGCAAATGTCCTTTACGAAATTTCTTTTAATTTAATTCAATTTACGCAATGTCGATCAAATACAAAATATTTCTTTTTAATTTTTTTTAAATCTCAGGAAGTTTGATATACAAAGAAAGAACAGAGCAATCACGGAGCTCCAAAACACTAGAGGTGGGATCAGGTACCATGAAAGAGTTAGCATCCCTATCGAACCTTCACACCATCCATATGCTTCTTGTCATGATCAGGAAATAATGATTTATTCAATGTGTAAGTAAGGACCTTACAGTTCGTGTTAAAAACAATAGTCTGCATTTGAATTAATTTAGTGATAAATTGTAAGTGTTGTGAAGGTCATTGTATCGACCATAGAACTTAAAGATGACGATTCAAAACGAGATTGTTGATATTCTTATCACTTAACATGCTCATCAATAATTTATTTCGTTATAGAAATTAACCATACTTACAACATAAATATTGTATGTGTTCTTTAACAAACTTTATATGTATCACCTAAGAATCGAGTTATGAAACACATTTAAACCCTATTTATTCACTAATGCGTACAGTTAAATAAATTGTATCTCTTGTTATATCATCCAATATGTAAACACTTTTCAAAATTATTGTTTCTGAAAATAAAAAATAAATGGCGTTTATCTGTATAAAACCTTTGTTCGATAAAAAGTATTTACATGTGCTCACAAGTAGTCAGGTTTTGTCATTTATAGTCTCATTATATAGCGAGACAAGCTAAAATTATTAAATGTATTTCAGAAAAAAACCTAGTGCATTTCTGATTGTTTTCGGTGAGAGAAAATGTTCTATCATACACCAAATTATATTTACATACTGCATCTTAAGAACAAACCACCCATATAATGCATTTTCAAAAGTTTTACTGGATTCAAGAGAAGTTTTAATTCAAAAATGAAATTTCAATCCTCCTCACTCAATTTCAATTGATGATTTCCGTTCTCTGAAAATAAAAAAAAAATGTTTATAGAAATTCAATTAACTCTGCTGATTTTTTACAATAAGCTAATAAAATTTAAACTCACATTTGTATTTCTATTGCTTCATCTCACTTTTCAAGAATCTTTTCCTGAAATCCGCCTCCTGTAACAAATGTACAAGTAATAATTGTTTTTATGTACAAATATATTGTAAACAATCATTCTTCAGTTTTAAATATAGAGGAACATAAAGTAGACTTACTCTCATTTGGTTTATTTTTTCCACCGGGTCACTTCCATCTTCCTTTTAAAAAATGAAACATTTTTTTATCTTCAGAAGTTAAACTAAAATTTTAATAAAGATACAGTTAGTCACGCTGAAGTTTACGAGACAATTTCAAATTTGACTTTGCATGACTTTTCGCATTTTTCTTATGCATTCCTGGGTGGGTCATTTTAAGAATTCTGTTTTCAATTTCAATAAAATCTTATCTGTTACGTCAAATAAGTCAAATCGTGCGTTTCAAGCAGGATAATTTTGCAATTTTGAAAGTTTCTTTTGGGTTTAAGTAGTACATATAATCCGTGAGCACATTCAATAATTTCATCTTAAGAATCTTTTCGACAAAATAAAAAAAAACTTATTCTAGAAAAGTTATCAAAATATATAGTAAAGAAATTATTAGACTCGACCTCCCTAAAGCTAGGATTCAATGGACCTCAATTATCAAAACAACATACTTAAAAATATTCTCTTTGGAATGGAAAATGACCATATAAAGATTACCTTTAACATATCCAGAGAACGCTTGCTGCAGTAACAAAATCCATTGTAGCAAGCACACCATTGCTTCTTTTCAGCGTCCGTCTCTTTCATCAAGCAAAGCAGCATAGCAAAGATTACGACACATGCAATAAACTTCATCTGAAAATATATTGCGATGGTTATTTAATAAGGACCTTAAACTATTCCCCTATATGCGAATTCACAGATATAACAAAGCGTTTCTGTGTCCTAGTAACATTCTTAACAAATCTTTGTAAAATTTTACGGTTATAACGAACTCTGATATAACAAATAACGAATTTACGGATATAGCGAACTGATTTTGAGTCCCGTTGAGGTTAAATATAATGCATTTTACATCTTTTATAACGAATTTTCAAAGATTTCAAAATTTGAATAATTCTCTCAGCGTCTGTATATAAAATTCAATTCATAATAAAACCTTAGTTTTCGAAGGTATGTTTTGTAATATTTGCTTCCCTAACATATTTGATAGTAACACTTAAAGGAAAACATGCATATTGTAAATTCGCTATATATGGTTATATGAATTCGTTATACAGATATAACTTCGCTATAACCGTGTTTTACTGTATACGGTCACAGTGAATAAAAGCATGTTCAAGTTTTATTTTTTACTTTCCTTTTTGAAAATAGAAAAAACTTAATTGTTTGTATTTAAATTGAAAAAAATGAAGTTAAAAATAAATATTTAACAGATAAAAAGAAAAAAATGTTTAACTGATACGAAACCCCTCCGTAAAGCCACACACTGAAACACGAACGAAGAAAAAAGAACTGTTTCTAATAAGATAATTAAAGAAAAGTAGAACGATATGTCTGTTACACTTACGATCTGCGATTTGAATTCTTCTTGGTCAGCAACTCAAACCAATGAAAATTTGGCAGAACTGTTTTCAATTTATACTTGAAAAGTATGAACAGCTGGTTACTCTTCTGCTATTGAACTGTATAACTGAGAAGTGAAAACGTATAAACTACTGTAATCTGATAAAAGATATGTTTGCTTTAAGCCTTATCGTCTTTACTTTATTTTGCAACATGTTATATTCAGCATTAGTCTGACTTTTAATTGGCGAGATGTATGTTTACTCTTTAGACACATCATCGGTATTACAAGTTAAAAATGATTTTTTTTGTATTAATATGTAACAAATTTGACTTTAAAAGCATACAGAATACATTCATATAATCATAGCGGTTCTTCAAACCTTACCGGGATAAAAATTTTGTATTTCCATCATACAATTTTCTATGAAAACTTTTACAATTTATTTTTTTATAAGGAAGTATGATGATAGCATTCTATTTAATTAAAACAATCACTATTAAAACGTGTGGTACAAATCCATTTTCTTTCAAACACTGTCCGCTAAAAATTTCCCGTGATGTTTGCAGTCATCATTTCGCGAGTTTTGTTGTCGATACAATGACTTAATCATCAAAGATAATTTATTATGAAGTCAAATGCTGACAGACGTTTTTCATACTGTTAGGCCATTAATTACACACCGAACTTTGCACGGATTTTTCTGTTATTTTCCTACCATAATGCGGAACACATGGTGGGCATTACCTGTCGGCAGGGGATGCTAACTCCATGGCACATGATCCAACATCTGAGGTTTTGAAGGTCCATTTTAGGTCTTCACCTAATTTGTATTGTATAATTAGTTATTGAACTCTAAAGCTTGGGCATTGTTTGTTATCTCCATCTATTTTATTCATTGTTTAATTTATTTTATCAGAAGTGCGATGCATTTAAAAATAAAAAAAAAGTGTGCATTGCTTTTGATACTGAAACAGAATTAAAAATTTTCAGACATAAAAACTTTGAAAACACTTCAATACCGAAGTTGTGTTTTTATTTTTATGCAGTTGGTTCTACAGTAAATGCAAGCGTTTCCATTATGCTCCATATGAATTAAAAAAAATTCTCTTGAGGTACGTTAAACAATAAACGATCAATCAATCATCTCTCTGTATGAATGGATGCCCTTTTAAAAGATCTGGTATTTTCATGATAGAGAATTTGGACTTGTAAATATGCTAAAAAGACGGTGTACTTTTCTAACTGGTGAAAAGGAATGATAAAATCATTTTACCCATCTCAACAGAAATACAGCAATGTAATCGTATGCATTTGTTTGTTTGTGTGTGTGTGAGAGAGGGTGTGTTTGTTTGTGTGTGAATGATTGGGTTAGTGCTGAACGAAACGGAAATGGTGTAATTTGCCTCAAGATCGATGCCGAATGCTGCTTTAGTTTATAGATGAGCTAAGGATACTCTCCTTTACGATGCCATTGTTTCAAGAACTGTACGTTATGTTAGTGGTCCATTTATTATTTTCTAAAAGGGGTTCGTTAATTGACCGAATGGGTTGTTTTAAAAAAAAATAAATGGGCGAATTTTGTTTGCTCATTGTATTTCAAAATCTAAGCCCCCAACATGATGTGACTAAACTCAAAAACAACGCTAGCTAGGTTACATGATTTTAAGATATTTGAATACTAAATATACATATAATGTAACGAAATTTAATACAGAATTCAGGATTTAAAAACAAAAATATCTTTTGTCAGATTTCAATGGTTTAATTTTTCCTTCTTAATGACAGAATTCAATAGCAAGAGGGGTACCAGCTGTTCATCAATTTCAGGTATAAATTTTGTCAAGGTTCTTCTATATTTTCGTTGGTTTGAAATTGCTTGCAAAGAAGAATTCGATTCGCTTATCGTCAGTAATATTTTCTTTTAATATATTTATTTTATTCAACAACAATTTTATCAGGGTTTTCCCCCTCTCCCTGTCGTTGTTTTAATGTGTCTGGTTATGTAATCGTGTTGCATTGTACATTTCTATCTCTTGTGTTATGTTTCTCCATTTCTTTACATTAAAACATACATTTTTTTTCATTTTTTTTTAAATTAACTTTTATCCCCTGTATCCATGTTTAAGTAAATGGTTTTAAGACATTTTTAAATATTCTTATGTTTTCAGATGAAGTTTATGACATGTGTCGTTATCATTGCTATGCTATTTTGCCTGATGAAAGAAACAGATGCAAAGAAGAAGAAATGGTGCGCTTGCTACAATGGACTTTGCTACTGCAATAAGCGTTCTCTGGATATGTTGAAGGTAAAGGCTCACTTAGATATTTATTTTTCATGTAAATTAATGAGAGATATTGTAGACAGACAAACTATGTTAAATTACGGAAAAAAGATACACAATTTGGTTTGTTCTAGAAATTCTTATTTTTCTTATGCCCAATACTTGCACTTTTGCAATTAATCAGACTGGTATTTTACATGTAAAGGTGCAAAAGGGCCATTTTGTTCGCAATTAAATGTTTATTTAACTGGAATTTCAATCTTCTATCAACATATTTCCATGTCTATGGACGTATTAAATACACTTGAAATACGTTATCAGAACAAGACCTTTCAAGAAATGTTTTTTTGTTATTTATATCTTAATTCATATATGAAAGGGGTAATGACACACCCATGAATACATGAATTAACATTGTGTTGTAAATTTTGAATTTACTAAGAGGAGGTAAACACAAGATTTACAACATGATAACCTCCCTTTAGTAAATTCAAAATTTAAAACATCACGAAAAGAAACTTCGAAAAGCCCCGTGCAGTCAAATTGAAAATGGTCATGTTTAACATACTGTAATTTATTGAATCTCCATTCAAATTTGATTTTGCTTACTAATTTAAAGAAGCTTTTATTTGCTTAAAGGAAGATGAAAATGACCTTGTGGAAAAAATGACAGTAAGTCTTTTTCATGTATTTTTTTTAAAATAATTTTTGATTGAGAAATAATTGTTCAAAATATTTTTAACACATAGTGTGGAATAATTCTAATTCGTGGGGGTCATTGTTTGTGGGTAAACAAAATTTTATTGGTCCGTGGCTACATAATTTCGTGGGCAACTTATATAAACAGAAGATACAATAAATAAATACGTTTGTAAAGGGAATGTTCGTGGGGATATACATTCGTGGATAAGGGTGAACTACAAAATCCACGAACACCGTTCCCCTGCGAACATCGAAGATTTCACAGTAAACTATTTAACGCGTGATTACATTTGTCACAGGAGGCGGAGTTCGCGAAGAGATTATTGAGAGCTGGGATGAAGTAATTTGAAATCAGAAAAGTGAGTAAATTTTACTGTGAATTCCTGGCAAATACCATCAGAATTATTCATTTTTTAATATAAGTCTGTTTTTTTTTTAGGAAGAAAGACTTTTAATCGAAACAAAAGAAGAAGTGGAAAAACATTGGTGTTTTAAAAATTAATAAATCTTAACAGATTGCATTTCATCAATGAGTTACTGTTCGTTATCTCCATATATTAAATCAACATTTTCTAAAGAATGTCATGGTTTATTAATTTTACACTGCTACGTCGTCTGTCCGTACATGTCTGTCAACGCAGGTTTGTTAAGGCAGCACATGGATCGGAATTCGGCGAATTAACACTTTTTTATAACTATGCAACACTAATAAATCGGAAAAGTCAAGGATAAACTTTTACTATAATCATTTATTCTATAGACTTCAATGGAACTTAAAATACAGGGAGGCACTTCAACACGAAGTCACCACGTAGCGTCTATAATTAGAAAATATGCCTTAATGAAAAAGTGAAAAGTTTAACACTACCCCGGGGATAATTAGTTCCAATTTATATTGATAGTTATGTTAAAACATCTCTGTACCATGAAAAGTGCTGCTAGAGTCCTACTGTCCTCTTATTGAAATAATTATTCAACAATTTTGGACGAAACTTTTCCAAAATTTTTACATTTTGATCATAACATCGAAAAAAATGCATCGATTCCCGTAACCCATACGATTCTAGCAGCACTTTCCAACAACAAAAGAATAATAACTTTAGATAGAAACAGAAATTAAGTTTCAAGGTATCACACTGCTCAACGCGTTATCGGCAACTCGGTTGTTATCGGATACTCGGTGCAGGAAAAAACAATGCATAGAAAACGTAGGTGATTTTAAATTTCTTTATTTAATGATAATTGTGTACTTCTGCAAACAGAGTTTGTGATCTTTGGCAGATAAATGATAATACTTTCAGCAGTAAAAAGCACGATCCAAATCACGCTCTTTCAAGAGATCTACAGTTCTTTAAAATGAAATTAAATAAAATTTTATGAATATGTCAACATATTTTAATCTTTGTAGAAGTCAGAATCAAATTATTTTATAAAACAAAGTGATTTATTAACTTATTGGACAATCATAAACCTTTAGATAAAAAGACATATATCAAAATTCAAATTATGGTTTATTTTACGGACATTTAAAATGTTTCGTTGGGCAAAAACATGTTATCGGAAACACGGTTGAAGTTGCCGGATAATTCGGTTTTTCAAGGGTGCAGGTTATCGGAAACCTAGGTTAAAAATTTTCCTTCTATTTCAACAATAGATTAAAAAAGACGAAATTCCATGATATTCTGCGGTCAAGGCTTTCGGATCTTAAAAAATAACAATTTGAATTTCAGCAAACAAAGTTTGTGATCTATGACAGATAATTGATTATGCTCTCAGCAGCAGAAGCACAGACCGAATCAAAAGATCAACAACTCTCTCAAAAATATTTTATAAAAAAAATTCGGATTAAGCATCACATTTTAACTTTTGTAGAATACATATTTAATTTATTCTATCAAACTGGTATATTTATTCTATGGACAATCAGATACCTTTAGATCAGCAAATTGAGATTAAAAAATCCAAATTAAGGTTTTGAAAACAGTCATTTAAAATGTCTCGTTAGTTGAAAACATGTTATCGGCAACAAGGTTCATTCATGTCCAGTTCCCTTTATCAATTCGATATTGTCGACATCGCAATGTAAACAATGTTGATTCGATATTGCGTTTACATCGTAATGTTGACAATGTTGATACGATATCGTATTTACATCGTCTACATTGTTATTATTTCTACATATACACATTTCCCTGTATTCTTCTATTAAGCCAACTGTGAAAATAATTTGAAAACCATTTTCCTGTATACTCAAGCGTAGAAATATACACGGAGAAACGTACATTAATTAACTTGACATCGCAATAAAACTGCAGCGACGTTAGTTTAATTGCAGTGATATAGGACAGCAAGGAATTCAAATATTGAGCATATTTAAGTTGCTTCCAAACATGTAAAATGAAAATATAAGGAATGTTTTAAGTTTAGGTTGAGTTATTGGTGTGTGAATCACTAAGACTAGCACGTGGGCATATTTTACATGAAGCGCTAGCACTGCGATGTCGACGATGTGAACGATGTAAACAAAATTTAGAAATAGGCAATGTTGACACGATGTTGACTCTATATCGACAAACATTGCAATGTCGACGATGTAAACAATGTAAACAAGAAAAATAAGAAGGGCAATGTTGACACGGTGTCGACTCGATATCGACCAACATTGCAATGTCGACGATGTGAACGATGTAAACAAGAAAAAGAACAAAGAAGGGCCTTGTTGATACGATGTCGACTCGATATCGACCAACATGTCGACGATGTGAACGATGTAAACAACAGAAAAGGGGAAGGCAATGTTAACAAGATGTTGACGTTATATTGTTAAACAATGTAATATATAGAGAGATAAACAAAGCTAATATTGTTATGTTGAATATGGTATTATATAGTGTATTAGGAGGACTGGTTTACTTACAGCGATGTCGACAATATGAAAAAACATCGTGCACTGGACATACCTCACAAGGTTGATGTACATGGCCGGATACTTCGGTTTTTGGAAGGGTGTATGTTATTGGAAACGCACGTAACAAAGTTTCCTTTAGCTTCATACATTGTTTGGAAAAAGCCCATTATAATCTGTAAATTCTTGAAAAAAGGAATCGTAATGTGTTAGAAGTAATTTTGAAATTTATTTCAAGGGCTCTCCGTAAGGTTCGTAAGTTTGTTTTGATATGAATGGTTATAAATAAGATTAATAATGTAAATGATAGAACTAATCTAACTGTTTAATCATTTTTTTTTTCAAGTTTCCTATTCTAGTGAACCTCCAGCTTCAGGAGGTTTCAGACGTAAATATATATCTTTAATTTATCATAACAATTACTTTTGTAATATGATATACTGAGAATTACATTATTATTACTTTTTTCCAGTATTTTTTTTAAAAAAATCAAGTCCCCCCATGATCCCCAGAATCACGTCACTGTTACAAATACATTTATAGCAATTGTGGCTTAAGTGGGGGTGCCCCATATACAAAACGAGTGCCTGTGATTGTGACGTCAACCCCGAAAATTACCTATGTAGGAGAACGGGTGCTGGTTGATTCATTTTCAGTTCCTCATATGTTTAACCTTTTCTACAGTCAGTGATTGGCGTTTTCAATTACTCTTGGACGGGGGGAGAATTTTTGTGGGATACGCACCAGCAACGTATAAGGATCGACTCCTTACTCGGCGACTCTAAAGCAGACACTCTAACCACGGGCGACCTCGGTAACTTGAAATGAAATGTAAAACTAATACCATATATAAGAACAGGTCAAGATCATGCAGAATTCAGTGAGAAATGCTAAAAACGCGCATTTTTTAAAAGTTAAATATTCTTAAAAGAGGTAAATAATAACCAAAAGTTAATATATTTAGATTTCATGTGGATTTCTGTACGTCGTTCCTTTATATTTTTCTTAATCTATCTCAACCTTTGTTTCCGATAACCAAAACCGAAGTTTTCGATAACAAACTGAATTATTCAACCGTATTTCCGATAACATACTGAAAGTTAAAATTGGGCAATTTTTGTCCTTTAATAACATATTTGCAAGATTCTGACGATGTCTTCCTGTGGACAATCATTAGCACTAGGTAAATATAAGGATTTTGAAGAAAAAAGCTATTTACAGTAATACCAATTAGAGAAAAACTTTTAAAAAATAACAAATTTGACTTTTTAAGCCTTCCCAAGGCTTACAAATACTATATTAATACGTATCGAGGCGTTATTTTGTATCCATATTCATTTCTGTTTATAAAAATAACAATGAACATTCTCTGTTTCTATTTTAACAGAGTTTATTTGAAATAATTTACTACCCTGTAAAAAATTGTGATCAACCGAGTGTCCGATAACAACCGAGTTGCCGATAACGCGTTGAGCAGTGTGTATGCGGCGTAGTGTTGAACTTTTGCATCTTTTTTGTTACGAACGACAGAGGAAAGGCTTATCGGCAAGTAAATACACTCGCTGCTTTAATTTTAAGAAGACATTGTTGAAATATATTACCATACCTTATTCATACCCACAAGAATCACACATGATATTCATTCTAAATGCTTTTAAACTCCGATTTCTAGTGTTTGTTCACATCAATTTTCGTTACTTTTCACTTTCACTCTGCTACTGCATGATAAACATTTATGACGTCAAGGGTTTGGTATGTAACCCCTGTGATAACTACAGAGGCCCAGGAACGACAGAATCTAAATATCACGTCATATAGCTTATTATGACGTCATAGCATATAGGCAAGTAGAATATTTGGTTGTAACCTTAACCTACCTGCAAACTCTTCTTTTATAGTATAACCAATCATTATCTTTAAAAATACAATGTCTTATAGATAAGCAAAAAGGTTTTGGTATATTTAAGGAATCACTGTCTAGTTAGGAGAGTATGCTAGGGCATCAACAATAGTGGGAAACACGGGATAATTTGCATAACGGGCGAAGCCCGTTATGCTAAAATTATCCCATGTTTGCCACTATTGTTGATGTCCATGGCATACTCTCAAAACTAGACAGTGATTCCTTATATTTCCATATTTACTTGAAATTACCATCATAAAATAAATCGAAATACCGTCTAATTGAGTAGATTTGAAATGCACAAGGCCCCATGACGTCAAATTTTACTATAAAAAATAGTCTCCAAAAACGAAACAAATTTATTGACTTTTTATATTTACCGTAGTCAAATATCAACATTTATAAAATAAACGACAAAAATTTTTTTAATAATGATCAAAGTAATCTTGTTGACTTTAATTATATATGTGACCTAGATTTAGGTTGTCGGAAGCACGAACATAAATAAGCACTACGTCACTTCTCCGCCGCCATAATGAATGCAATGTTGCTGAAACGGGAGCTGGTCAGCATGGTCAGGAAACCGATTTGTATGGATGTTATAATAGCAGAAGAAGTTGAGTTGCTTAAGAAGTCGGATGGTAATGACTAAGGGACGATGTCTGTATCAGAT